TGTGTGCATGTGTCCTTATAGTAGAACAATTTATAATCCTTTGGATATATACCCAGTAATGGGATTGCTGGGTCAAATGGAATTTCTGTATCTAGGTACTGGAGGAATCGCCACACTGTCTTCCACAATGGTTGAACTAATTTACACTCCCACAAACAGTGTAAAAGTGTTCCTGTTTCTCCAAATCCTCTCCAGCATCTGTTGTCTCTAGATTTTTTAATGATCGCCATTCCAACTGGCGTGAGATGGTATCTCAATGTAGTTTTGATTTGCATTTCTCTAATGACCAGTGATGATGAGCATTTTTTCATATGTTTGTTGGCCTCATGTATGTCTTCCTTTGTAAAGTGTCTGTTCATGTCCTTTGCCCCTTTTGAATGGGCTTGTTTGTTTTTTTCTTGTAAATCTGTTTTAGTTCTTTCTAGATTCTGGATATTAGCCCTTTGTCAGATAGGTAGATTGCAAAAATTTTTTCCCATTTTGTTGGTTGCTGATTCACTCTAATGATTGTTTCTTTTGCTGTGCAGAAGCTGTGGAGTTTGATTAGGTCCCATTTGTCTATTTTGGCTTTTGTTGCCAATGCTTTTGGTGTGTTGGTCATGAAGTCCTTGCCTGTGCCTATTTCCTGAACGGTTTTGCCAAGATTTTCTTCTAGACTTTTTATGGTGTTAGGTCTTATGTTTAAGTCTTTAATCCATCTGGAGTTAATTTTAGTGTAAGGTGTCAGGAAAGGGTCCAGTTTCTGCTTTGTGCACATGGTTAGCCAGCTTTCCCAATACCATTTATTAAACAGGGACTCCTTTCCCCATTGCTTGTTTTTGTCAGGTTTGTCAAAGATCAGATGGTTGTAGATGTGTTATGTTGCCTCCGAGACCTCTGTTCTGTTCCATTGGTCTATATCTCTTTTTTGGTACCAGTACCATGCAGTTTTGATTACTGTAGCCTTGTAGCATAGCTTGAAGTCCCATAATGTGATGCCTCCCGCTTTGTTCTTTTTGCTTAGAATTAACTTGGCTATGCGGGCTCTCTTTTGGTTCCATATGAAGTTTAAGGTGGTTTTTTCCAATTGTGTGAAGAAGGTCATTGGTAGCTTGATGGGGATAGCATTGAATCTGTAAATTACTTTGGGCAGTATGGTCATTTTAACGATATTGATTCTTCCTAACCATGAACATGGAATGTTTCTCCATCTGTTTATGTCCTGTCTTATTTCGTTGAGCAGTGGTTTGTAGTTCTCCTTGAAGAGGTCCTTTACGTTCCTTGTTAGTTGCATTCCTAGGTATTTTATTCTCTTTGTGGCAATTGTGAATGGCAGTTCGTTCTTGATTTGGCTCTCTTTAAGTCTGTTACTGGTGTATAGGAATGCTTATGATTTTTGCACATTGATTTTGTGTCCTGAGACTTTGCTGAAGTTGCTTATCAGTTTGAGGAGATTTTGGGCTGAGATGATGGGGTCTTCTAGATATACAATCATGTCTTCTGCAAATAGAGACAGTTTGACTTCCTCCTTTCCAATTTGAATACCCTTTATTTCTTTTTCTTGCCTGATTGCTCTGGCCAGAACTTCCAATACTATATTGAATAGGAGTGGTGAGAGAGGGCATCCTTGTCTAGTGCCAGATTTATAAGGGAATGCTTCCAGTTTTTGCCCATTCAGTATGATATTGGCTATTGGTTTGTCGTAAATAGCTTTTACCATTTTGAGATACATTCCGTCAATACCTAATTTATTGAGGGTTTTTAGCATAAAGGGCTGTTGAATTTTGTCAAAGGCCTTCTCTGCATCAATTGAGATAATCATGTGGTTTTTGTCTTTGGTTCTGTTTATGTGGTGAATTACGTTTATAGACTTGCGTATGTTGAACCAGCCTTGCAGCCTCGTTGATGAAGCCTACTTGATCATGGTGGATAAGCTTTTTGATGTACTGTTGCAATCAGTTTGCCAGTATTTTATTGAAGATTTTTGCGTCTATGTTCATCATGTATATTGGCCTGAAGTTTTCTTTTCTTGTTAAGTCTCTGCCAGGTTTTGGTATCAGGGTGATGTTGATCTCATAAAATGATCTGGGAAGGATTCCCTCTTTTTGGATTATTTGGAATAGTTTCAGAAGGAATGGTACCAGCTCCTCTTTGTATGTCTGATAGAATTTGGCTGTGAGCCCATCTGGACCTGGACTTTTTTTTGGTGGGTAGGCTCTTAATTGCTGTCTCATCTTCGGACCTTGTTATTTTTCTATTAAGGGTTCCGACTTCTTCCTGGTTTAGGCTTTGAGGATGCAAGTGTCCAGGAATTTATCCATTTCTTCCAGGTTTACTAGTTTATGTGCATAGAGTTGTTTGTAATAATCTCTGATGATGTTTTGTATTTCTGTGGAATCTGTGGTGATATTCCCTTTATCATTTTCTATTACATCTATTTGATTCTTCTCTCTTTTTTATTACTCTGGCTCGTGGTCTATTTTGTTGATCTTTTCAAAAAACCAGCTCCTAGATTTATTGATTTTTTTGAAGGGTTTTTTGTGTCTCTATCTCCTTCAGTTCTGCTCTGATCTATGTTATTTCTTGTCGTCTGCTATGTTTTGAGTTTTTTTGATCTTGCTCCTCTAGCTCTTTCAATTTTGATGATAGGGTGTCGATTTTAGATCTCGCCTTGCTTCTTATGTGGGCATTTATTGCTATATATTTTCCTCTAGACACTGCTTTAAATGTGTCCCAAAGATTCTGGTATGTTGTGTCATCATTCTCTTTGGTTTCGAAGAACATCTTTATTTCTGCCTTCATTTCATTGTTTATCCAGTCAACATTCAAGAGCCAGTTGTTCAGTTTCCAAGAAGCTGTGCGGTTCTGAGTTAGTTTCTCAATTCTGAGTTCTAACTTGATTGCATTGTGGTCTGAGAGACTGTTTGTTATGATTTCCGCTCTTTTGCATTTGCTGAGCAGTGATTTACTTCTAATTATGTGGTCAATTTTAGAGTAGGTGTGATGTGGCGCTGAGAAGAATGTATATTCTGTCAATTTGGGGTGCAGAGTTCTGTAAATGTCTATTAGGTTTGCTTGGTCCAGGTCTGAGTTCAAGTCCTGGATATCCTCGTTAATTTTCTGTCTGGTTGATCTGTCTAATATTGACAAAGGGGTGTTATAGCCTCCCACTATTATTGTGTGGGAGTCTAAGTCTCTTTGTAAGTCATTAAGAACTTGCCTTATGTATCTGGGTGCTCCTGTATTGGGTACGTATATATTTAGGATCGTTAGCTCTTCTTGTTGCATTGATCCTTTTATCATTATGTAATGTCGTTCTTTGTCTCTTTTGATCTTTCTTGGTTTAAAGTTTGTTTTATCAGAGACGAGAATTTCAACTCCTGCGTTTTTTTTGCTCTCCATTTGCTTGGTAAATCTTCCTCCATCCCTTTATTTTGAGCCTTTGTGTATGTGTCCTTGCTTGTGAGATGGGTTTCCTGGGTATGGCACATTGATGGGTTTTGGCTTTTTTTCCAATTTGCCCATCTGTTTCTTTTGATTGGGGCATTTAGCCCATTTACATTTAGGGTTAATGTTATTATATGTGAATTTGATCCTGCCATTTTGATGCTAGTTTGTTGTTTTGCCCGTTAGTTGATGCAGTTTCTTCATTGTATTGATGCTCTTTACCATTTGGTATGTTTTTGGAGTGGCTGGTACTGGTTGTTCCTGTATATGTGTAGGAGCTCTTTCAGGAGCTCTTGTAAAGCAGGCCTGGTGGTGATGAAATCTCTGAGTACTTGCTTGTTTGCAAAGGATTTTATTTTTCCTTATGAAGCTTAGTTTGGCTGGATATGAGATTCTGGGTTCAAAGTTCTTTTCTTTAAGGATGTTGAATATTGTCCCCCACTCTCTTCTGGCTTGTAGGGTTTCTGCTGAGAGATCTGCTGTGAGTCTGATGGGCTTCCCTTTGTGGCTAACCCGACCTTTCCGGCTGCCCTTAGTATTTTCTCCTTCATTTCAACCCTGGTGAATCTGACGATTATGTGCCTTGGGTTTGCTCTTCTTGAGGAATATCTTTGTGGTGTTCTCTGTATTTCCTGGACTTGAATATTGGCCTGCCTTGCTAGGTTGGGGAAGTTTTCCTGGATAATATCCTGAAGAGTATTTTCCAGCTTGGATTCATTCTCTCTGTCACATTCTGGTATACCTATCAAACGTAGATTAGGTCTTTTCACATAATCCCATGTTTCTTGGAGACTTTGTTCATTCCTTTTTACCCTTTTTTCTCTAATCTTGCATTCTTGTTTTATTTCACTGAGTTGATCTTCGACCTCTGATATCCTTTCTTCTGCCTGGTCAATTCGGCTGTTGAAACTTGTGCATACTTCACGAAGTTCTCGTGTTGTGTTTTTCAGCTCCATCAATTCACTTATATTCCTCTCTAAGTTGTTTATTCTCGTTAGCTTTTCGTCAAATCTTTTTTCAAGGTTCTTAGTTTCTTTGCATTGGATTAGAACATGTTCTTTTAGCTCATAGAAGTTTCTTATTACCCACCTTCTGAAGCCTGATTCTGTCAATTCATCACACTCATTCTCCATCCAGCCTTGTTCCCTTGCTGGTGAGGAGTTGTGATCCCTTGTAGGAGGAGAGGCATTCTGGTTTTGGGTGTTTTCACCCTTTTTGTGCTGGTTTCTTCCCATCTTTGTGGATTTATCCACCTGTCGTTTTTGTAGTTGTTGACTTTCAGATTGGGTCTCTGAGTGGACATCCAGTTTGTTGATGATGAAGTTATTTCTTTCTTAGTTTTCCTTCTAACAGTCAGGCCCCTCTGCTTTAGGACTGCTGAGGTCCACTCCAGGCCCTGCTTGCCTGGGGATCACCTGCAGCAGCTGCAGAACAGTAAGGGTTGCTGCCAGTTTCTTCTTTTGCTATCTTTGTCCCGAAAGGATACCCACCAGATTTCAGTCTGAGCTCTCCTTTATAAGGTGACTATTTGAATATTCAGGGGGTCAGGGAGCTGCTTGAGGAGACAGTCTGTCCTTTATAGAAGCTCAAGTGCTGAGCTGTGAGCTCCGTTGTTCATTCAGAGCTGCTGGGCAGGTAGGTTTAAGTCTGCTGCAGCAGAACTCATAAACCACCCCCCGTTTTTTTCCCCCAGGTGCTCTGTCCCAGGGAGTTAGGGTTTTATTTATGAGTTTCTGTTGTGCTGCTGCCTTTTTTCAGGACTGCCCTGCCCATTAAGGAGGCAGCCTAGTCATTGTTGCCTGCAGAGGCTTTGCCGAGCTGCTGTGGGCTCTGCCCAGCTGCCATGTGAACTTCCCTGTAGTCCTGTTTATACGGGTGTAGTTAGAACTGCCTCGGCAGTGGTGGCCCACCTCTATAATGGTGTATTCTTTGTAATGGCAGGCTGCCTCAGCAATGGCAAACTACCTCCATAGTGGTGGACTGCCTCGGTAATGGTGGATGCCCCTCCCCAACAGAGCTGGAGCGTCGGAAGTTCAGCTGTGCTTGCTGTGAAACTCTCAATCCAGAGCACTTCCGATTGCTGTTTTTTTGTGGGGGTGGGACCAGCCGAGCCTGATCACCTGGCTCCCTGCCTCAGAGCCCCTTTTTTTTTTTTTGGTTGAACGGTTGTCTCTGTCTCCCAGGTGTTCCAGTCACCTGTTGAACAGGCACCGGGATCTGCTTGATTTCCCGTGCGGCGACCCACTGTGCCGGCTGAAACAGACACAGGGAGATTCATGGCACTTTTTTGCCCAGGAATCTCCTGGCCTGGCTCCCTGTTTCTGTCCCCTTTTTTATCAGTTGAATGGGTGACTCTGTCCCCCAGGAGCTCCAATCGCCAGCTAAAACTGCGCCCGGACTTATGTATTTTGTATGGAGAACCGCCACCCCGGGGTACCAGCAAAACAGCCATGCCAGCAGAAACAGCCGCGCTGGCTAAAACAGCCATTCTGTCGACCCGTAGGGATCCTCCACCTGGGAATCTCCTGGTCTGTGGGCAATAAGAATCCGTCTGGAAATGCGGCGTCCACTCACCCTCAGCGCTTTTGCTGGGAGCTGCAATCTTAAGCTGCTCCTAATTGGCCATCTTGGAACCTCTCAGGAAATTTTTTTAACGGAACTTTTATGTAAATGCTGATATCAGCTATAAAAATTATTTGAGTTACTTAAAATTGTTTTTATGTTTTAAGATTTCTATTTGTACTTATGAGTTTATTAGTTTACTCCTGAATTGAATTAATATCCATTTTGGAAAAAAACATTAAATAGTACTGTTTTCTGGCTGAGTGCAGTGGCTTATGCCTGTAATCCCAGCACTTTGAGAGGTTGAGGTGGGTGGATCACCTGAAGTCAGGAGTTTGAGATCAGTCTGGCCAACATGGTGAAACCGTGTCTCTACTAAAAATACAAAACATTAGGCAGGTATGGTGGGGCACACCTGTAATCCCACTTACTCAGCAGCCTGAGGCAGGAGGATCGCTTGAACCCAGGAGTTGGAGGCTACAGTGAGCTGAGATGCCACTATACTCCAGCCTTGTCGACAGAGCAAGACTCCATCTCAAAAAGCAAAAGGGTACTATTTTTAAATTGTGACAGATGCATTGGTTAATACTGAAATATTGGAAAAATAACAGCTAATACACATGTAACATTTACCATGTTCTAGGTACAATTTAAACACATAGACATATTAGCTTATTTTAACTCACTGGGGTAGGAATATCGTCCCCATTTTGCAGGTGAGGACACCAAAGCACAGAGAGATTGAATGACTTGCCTGAGGTCGCTTAACTTTATGGAAAGTTAGTAAGCATTTTGTGCATGATTCACACTGTATCATGTTCAACCAATAATGTACATTTTCAAGAACTTAAGAAGGTACTTCTAATTGTACTTTTAAATAACAAGTATTTCAATTTATTTTAAAATTATAATGTAGAAATTGAAACAGTTCTCTATTTCATGTGGGGTGTTTGAGTTTTTGGGGAGGTTTTGGGAGGCCATCATCTAGTGAATTGTGAGAAATTAGTAGTCCATCCCTAGAAAGTTGCTATTCCTTTATATTTACATATAATTACTTTATTCACAAAATAGAATCTATAGGTTCACATCAAACAAGTTAAATAAAACAGGAAAACATAGAACAAAGGAAAAGCATATTTAACCAATATGCTCTTCTCAAGTGTTTTAAAACAATAAAAAGTGATTATTTCTTTTTTATATTTTATTCTTTTAAAGCTACATTCTTAGATGCTCTGGTTTGATTATTGCTTCAGTTTCTTCTGAACAGTGAATTTTCCATTCTTTTGAAAAAGCCTAAAATTACTTGTCTAAATCAAAATCCAGCCTTTTTCTCTTTTGCCTTTTTTATTTAAGCAAGGCCTCCTCTGTGGGTCTTCCTTTTAAAACAGTACTTTTCTGTGCAACATATTATTAGTGAATAGCTTTCCTTTATTGAAAGCTGTTCACTATTTTAAAATGAAGAAAGCTTTTTAAAACCTTAAAATAATTTGTAAAACAATTGATAAATACTATATTTTTTAGAAAAATCATAAATTTTTTGGGTGAGAAATTACCTTTTCGGGAACACAATAGAACTGGTAAAGCGTTACAGAAATGTTGCTTTTAAAGGGAAATCATCTGTGTTGATTAAGGAATTACAATTATAAACATTCATTAAATTTTTATAGCAACTTTTGACAAAACCTGTGGTATTCTTCAGATTGGTAATAGAATATGTAAATAATTTGCAGATGGCATATAAGCATCTCAGCATTGAATAGAAGGGGAAAGAAAGATGAAGGAGCTAGAGCAATGTAGAAAGTCAAATAAATGTATAATATGTTGACATTAGATGACACCAGTGTCGAAGTAGTCGAGCTATATTACTAAAGCAGAGAGAGGAATCATGGGCACTCTGGCATTCTGTTGTAAGGACTCAAAATAGCCAAATAAGAATCTATTCATTGTTGGAATTTCAAAAACAAAATATCCTTATTTTAAGACCTTCCTAAAAACACCTGCTTAGAGTCTTTTTGCCAGCTGTTGAATTCTGACAAATAAAGTATAACAATTAAAGAAAGCTCCTGCTGTCCTACTGTGGCACGAAGTACTCTTTGTATCCAGAAGATTACAGAGGGATTTAATCATAGGTGTCACTTTTGATTTGTAAATAATATGTATATTTTGTTTCTGAAAGTGTGGGAAAGAACCAGCATCAGCTAACATTATTTTAGGAAGAAAATTCATTCAAATTTATTTAAAATGAGTAAAAGAATAGTTTAATATTGTTTAGAATATGTTAGTTTTAAAAGCACAGAGTTTTCTTAGCTTCAACACTACTGACATTCTGGGCTGGAGAATTCTATTTTCAGGGGATGTCGTGAACATTGCAGCATGCTTGGCAGCATCTCTGGCCTCTGCCCACTAGATGCCAGTAGCACGTACACCTTTCTACCCTCAGTGGTGACAACCAAAAATAATCTTCAGATGCTGCAGAATATTCCTTGGGGGAAAATCACCAGTTTAGAACCACTGCTCTTGCCAGTTCCACAGGGTAAATACCAAATGACTCAATGTGAATTTCATTAAAACTCTGAAGTTTTAGAACAAATGAGTAGCCAGAAGAATTGGAAAGACTTAAGATTATGAAGATGAAAGTTGCAATTAAGGTGTTCATGTACCAATCATGTTATTATATAGTCCAGAGCGATATGGAGGATTTATTTTAATCTTTTTCTTGGTAAAAAGTAGCAATATAATTACAAATTTTTCTGGTTAAACCATGTCATCCTATAAATGGGGAAATCGTGTCACTTTCTGAAATTAAAGATAACATTCAACAAATAATTATGCACTTCAGGGGCTCAGTAAAGTTAACCCACAACCTAGTTAACTAGGTTGTCTTTGAGAAGCTAGAATCAAGGTAAGTGTAGAAAAGATGAACCTAGAATATTAGCTCCCAAAATAAAGACTTCAAACATTTTTGTTGGCTGAACTTAATTCAGATGAAGTACTACCATAACTCCTACCAGCACTGCCACTCTAGAGTCAGCTGTGCTTCACTTTGAGTTTCTGCCTTCTGTAGCCAACACTGCTAGACAAGAAATTGAAACCAGAAGATTCAAAAAGGGCCATATTATATTTAACTAACTTGGTTCTTTGCTAATATAAAAAGCAAACTTGTGCGAAAGCACAATATTAGTAGTAATAACATTTGTTGAATGACTAGAAAACTGATAACCAAGTTTAAAATGCATTTTTAAAGTACAGTACTGATGTAAGAATCACATTTAGAAGTATAACAACATAGTGTATTTAATCAGTATTAGAATTTTTAAATTTATTTTATGATCATGAAATCTAAGAGTGAATGGGTATCTTTGAAATCCTCTGAATAATCTTTACTGATTTTGCCTACTTCCACTGAGCTGCATGAACATGAGGAGCCATAGACATTTCTTCCAGGGATCTCAGTGTAAATCAGTAATTTCTAACCTTAGTGTTGTTTTTCTGGAGAAATACATCAGAATCTCTATAAAGAGCTATTTTGAAAAATTCTTTAATACAATTTTATTGAGAAAAATATAATGCCTTTTATTCTTACAAATATAGAAATAAAGCTTTTAAAAATCTTGATCAGTGGGAAATATGTGAGGAAGTTTTAATGATCATGTAATTTGGCAAATATATAATTAATTCACAGAGCACACATCTAGAGGTGGTGACATGTAATATTGTTTATGCCTGAGTATTATAATGTGTACTGCTGTTTGTAATACATAACAACCCAACAGAGTTAAAAAAAAAAAAAAAGAGCAAAAGAGAAAAGAGGTCAGCCGAGGTGGCTCACACTTGTAATCACAGCACTTTGGGAGGCTGAGATGGGCAGATCACGAGGTCAGGAGATAGAGACCATCCTGGCCAACATGATGAAACCTCGTCTCTACTAGAAATGCAAAAATTAGCTGGGCATGATGGTTCATGCCTGTAATCCCAACTATTCAGGAGGCTGAGGCAGGAGAATTGCTTGAACCTGGGAGGCGGAGATTGCAGTGAGCCTAGATTGTGCCACTGCACTCCAGCCTGGTGACAGAGCGAGACCCCATCTCAAAAAAGAGAAAGAGAGAGAGCAAGAGAGAAAAAGGCAGTTACCAAAAACTAAAATAAACATTTTTTAAAAAATACATATATATGAAAGGCCAATAAACAATAAGTTAATCATTTTTGTCATTAGGTTGGTAAAATGTAAAAGATGCTATACAGTATTGATGAGTATGTGAAACAGAAACCTTCATATATTAATAATGGAAGGGGAAATTTTATTATCTTTTTGGAGAGTACATTTGTCAGAATTTTAAGAATTTATTCAACAATTTCCTTCAGGGGTTTTTCCTACAGAAATCTCACACAATTAGGTTTAGGCTATTCATTGCAGTGTTCTACTGTTTTTATGTCCCCTCCCCTCTGAAGTGGAATGAATATAAATGTCCTTCACTAGGGAAATAGAAGACATAGTAAACATTAATCCTGGCAATTCCATGTAATAGTTTAAAAAAATGAGGTAAATATATTTGTACAAGCATGAAAAGCTGTCACCAAAATGTTAAGTAAAAAAAAGACAAAATAGTATAACTATAATCCCAGTTACATTTTTTAAATGAAAAATTGTGTGTATACCAAGAAAGGAATTTGTAACAAAATACAGATTTGCGTTGGACATACTGTGGATTTGGTTCCAGATCACCATAAAAAAAAGGTGAGTCACATGAATTTTTTTGGTTTCCCAAAGTGTATAAAAGTTATGTTTACACTATACTGTAGTCAGAATGTGCCATAGCATTATATCTTTAAAAAAAAAAGTATGCATACTTTAATTTAAAAATACTTTATTGTTAAAAATGCTAATGATTGAGCCTTCAGCTAGTCATAATGTTTTTGCCAATCAGGGTAGTGGCTGCTGAAGATTAAAGAGGCTATGGCAATTTCTTAAATTACAATGACAGTGAAGTTTGCTGCGTTAATTGACTTTTTCACAAAAGGTATCTCAGTAGCATGTGATGCTATTTGACAGCATTTTACCTGTAGTAGAACTTCTTTCAAAATTAGTCCTCTCAAACCCTGCCACTGCTTTTTCAACTATGTTTATGTAATATTCCAAATCTTTTGTTATTTCAACAATGTTTATAGCATCTTCACCACAAATTGATTCCATCTCAAGAAACAATTTTCTCTGTTGATCTGTAACAAGCAACTTTTCATCTATTCAAGTTTGATCATGAGATTGCAGCAATTCAGTCACATCTTCAGGTTCCAATTCTAATTCTAGTTCTCTTGCTACTTCCACCACATCTGTGGTTATTTTCTCCACTCAAGTCTTGACTCCCACAGAGTTATCCATGAAGGTTGGAATTAGCCTCTTCCAAATTTTTGTTCATGTAGACATTTTGACCTCCTCCCATAAATCATGAATGTTCTTAATGGTGAATTTTTTCCAAAAAGTTTTCATTTTACTTTGCTCAGCTTCATCAGAGGAATCACTACCTAGGGCAGTTATCACCTTAAAAAATGTATTTCTAAAGTAATAAGACTTGAAAGTCAAAATAATCGTGGATCACATGGGTTGCAGAATAGATTGTGTTAGCAGAATGGAAACATCATTGATCTCCTTGTATATCTCCATGAGAGGTCTTGGTTGAATAGATGCATTGTTAATAAGCAGTAATATTTTGAAAGGAATCTTTTTTTCTGAGTTGTAGGTCTCAACTGTGGACTTAAAATACCCAGTAACGCATGCTGTAAATAGATATCCTATAATCCAGGCTTTGTTGTTCCATTAATAGAATACAGACAGAGTAGGCTTTGTATAATTCTTAAGGGCTCCTGGATTTTAGGAATGATGAGTGTTGGTTTCAAGGTCCCAGCTGCATTAACCCCTAAAAAGGAGTCAGCCTGCCCTTTGAAGCCAGGCTTTGATGCCCCTCTAGCTATAAAGTCATGGATGACATCATCTTTAAATAGAAGGCAGTATTTTTAAGTGTAGCCTCATCATCATATACCTTAGCTAGATCTTCCAGATAATTTGCTGCAGCTTCTTTATCAGCACTTGCTGCCTCACCTTCCACGTTTATGTTATGGAGACAACTTTCTTTCAATTTCTGCTAGCTTCCAACTATTTTCTGCAGCTTCCTCACTTTTCCCAGCCTTGAGAGAATTCAAGAGTTGGGGTCCTGCTCTGGAGTAAGCTTTGGCTAAGGGAATGTTGCAGCAGGTTTGATTTTTTTATCCATGCCATCCAGACTTTGTCCATATCAGCAATAAAGCTGTTTTGCTTTCTCATCATTTGTGTATTCACTGGAGTAGCCCTTTTAATTTCCTTCAAGAACTTTTCCTTTGCATTGACATCTTGACTCACTCTTTGGTACATGAAGCCTGGTTTTTAGCCTGTCTTGGCTTTTGACATGCCTTCCTCACTAAGCTTAATCATTTCAAGCTTTTAATTTAAAGTAAGAAACAGAGCCAGACATGGTGGCTCACGCCTGTAATCCCAGAACTTTGTAAGGCCAAGGCCGGGGATCATTGAAGCCTAGGAGTTTGAGATCAGCCTGGGAAACACAGTGAGATCATATTTCTACAAAAAAATAACAAAAAATTATCCCATGTATTGTCGCATACCTGTCGTTTCAGCTACCTGGGAGGTTGAGGTAGGAGGATCCCTTGAGCCCAAGAGATAAGAGGCTGCAGTGAGTCATGATTACACCTTTGCAGTGTAGCCTGAGTCAGAGTGAATCCCTGTCTTAAAAAATAAAAATAGTTAATATGAGAGACATGTGACTTTACCTTTCACCTAAACATTTAGAGGCCATTGTGGGGTTATTGATTGGCCCAATTTCCATATAGTTGTGTCTCAGGGACTAGACAGGCCCAAGGAGAGAGAGAAACACGGGCAATGGTCAGTTGGTGGAGCAGAGTACAGTCCATAAGTTCACCTTCTTATATGGGCATGGTTCATGGCATTGCAAAACAATTTCAATAGTAACATCAAAGATGACTGATCACAGATTACCATAACAGATACAAGAATCATGAAAAAGGCTGAAATACTGTAAGAATTACCAAAATATGACACAGAGACACAGAGTATGTACTGTTGGAAGAATCGTGCCAGTGGAGTCGCTCAACACAGGGTTGATCCACCCACCTCGGCCTACCAAAGTTCTGGGATTATAGACATGAGCCACCATCCCCAGCCCATTTTTTTTCTTTTAAAGATGGGAATGTTATGGTTTTTGTGGACCTATAAGCCATACAAAAGGGAAAATTGATGATGCAAGAGACAGCTACTAGAGTCATGTTCTTAAATAGGAGAGATTAGGACCAAGTATAACATGAAAGGGCTGGCCTTAGGTGGGAGAATGGTCACTTCGTCAATAGGAACAAGAGTGAAGGTAGAACATAACGGTACAGGTGTGATGGGTGGGCGTGGAAGTTCTTTTAATTTCTTTTTAATTCTTTTAATTCTTCTCAATGAAACAGGAAGCAGATCATAAGCTAAGAGTGAAGAAAGTAGAAAACAGTTTGAGGAAAAACTGTCATTTAGGAAAGTATAAAAATGTACAGAGTTGAACAAGGCTTCCATAGACTCGGCAGCACACAGCTCTGTCTGAAGTGATAGACTGTGGACTAGTTCATGTAGACCTGATATGAACAGCACACCAGGAGTTGTGCAGTATGGTAGTCCTTTATAAAAACATAAATGTATACCTCTTTGAGAAATGAAAAAGCCCGTTGTGCTAATGTTATGTGACTGGTTTCATGGAGCTAGGGATAAAATTTTAGTGGTGTCATACCCAGATTCAAAAAGTACAGTGCCTAAAACAACTTGGGTACAAATGAAGTGGTTTTCACGTTTTTGGCTTGTTTACATCTTCAAAGAATTTTGAAAACCTTTGTGTCTCGTATGATTTTAGGATGACACCTAAAGAAAATGTTCCGTATATTTAAATAGTTGCAAAGGATGTATTTTCTGGCATATTGAGCAGTATATATGTACTTTAATTATATTTCCTTTTTTTTTTTTTGGAGACAGAGTTTTGCCCTGTCACCCAGGCTGGAGTCCAGTGGCATGATCCCACCTCATTACAACCACCACGTCCCGGGTTCAAGCAATTCTCCTGCCTCGGCCTCTGCTGTAGCTGGGACTACAGGCACATGCCACTGCACCTGGCTTAAGTTTTTGTATTTTTAGTAGAGACAGTGTCTCACCACATTGGCCAGGCTGGTCTCTAATTCCTGATCTCAGGTGATCCGCCCGCCTCAGCCTGCCAAAGTGCTAGGATTATAGGCATGAGCCACTGTGCTCAGCCATTAATTGTATTTTCATAAAATAGAAAGTCTCCGCTCATTCTATTGGAGTTACAGATTTAGCTCATCCAAATTATGGGAAACGTGTGCCATAAAATCCAATTGGCAAAGCCATTTCTCACTGTCAAACAGTCAAGTCAAACTGACTTTTTGACGGAAAAAGTTAGACTTTATATTTTGTTTGGTTTTCCAGAGACTCATACCATAGTGCCATATACCTTAAGATGTGAAATAGATTAGAGAAATAATATCTTTCTCTTATAAAGTGAGAGAAAGGCAAGTCACTTTTAGAAAAGAACTCATCTAGAGGTTGGGATCTGGAAGTCAATTTTCTTTTTTTCTTTTTTCTTTTTTTATTTTTAGAGACAAGGTCTTGCTGTCTGTCACTTGGGCTGGAGTGCAGTGCTACAGCCATGGCTCATTGCACCTCCTGGCCTCAAGCAATGCTCCCACCTCAGCCTCCTGAGTAA